TTCCATGTTCTGTTCGAACAGCTGCCTCTTGATCCATGTACAGATTCCTCAGGAGCAGAATTAAGTGTTCAGCAATACTCATACTTCACAATATTGCCCATAGCTTGTCATGATCCACACAACGAAAAGCCTTTGCATAGTCAACAAAGCACAGGTAAACATCTTTCTGATATTCTCTGCTTTCAGCCAAGATCCGTCAGACATCAGCAGTGGTATCCCTCGTTCCATGCCCTCTTCTGATTCGGGCTTAAACCGCTGGAAGTTCTCTGTCAATGTATGCTTGCAGCAGTTTCTCTATTACCTATAGTAAAACTTTACTCGCATGGGATATCAAAGAGATTGTCTGATGATTTCTGCATTCCGTTGGGTCACCTCTTTTTGGAATGGGCACAAATACAGATCTCTTCCAATCAGTTGGCCATATAGTTGTCTTCTAAATTTCTTGGCATAGATGAGTGAGTGCCTCCTGTGCCACCTCATTTTCTTGAAAGATTTCAATTTTTATTCCATCAATTCCTGGTGCTTTGTTCTTTGACAATTCCTTCAATGCACCTTGGATTTCTTCCTTCAGTATCATTGGATCTTGATCATTTTTTACCTCTTGAAATGGTTGAACATCAGCCATTTCCTTTTGGTGCAGAGACTCTGTATATTCTTCCCATTTTCTCTTGATGCTTTCTGCATCATTCAATAATTTGCCCAGAGAATCCTTCAATAACAGAAGTTGAGGCTTGAATTTTTTCTTCAGTTCCCCCAGCTTGAAAAATGCTGAGCGTGTACTTCCTTTTTGGTTTTCTGATTCCAGATCTTTGCACATTTTGTTGTAATATTTGGTTTTATCTTCTCGAGCTTATCTTTGTAATTTTCTGTTCAGTTCTCATACCTCCTCATTTCTTCCATTTGCTTTAGCATGTTTTTTCTAGAGAGCAAGTTTCAGTGTTTCTTCTGACATCCATTTTGATCTTTTCCTTCTTTCTTGTCTTCTTAATGACTTTTTCCTTTCTTTATGTATGATGTTCTTGATGTCTTCCCACAACTCTTCTGATCTTCAGTCTTTAGTGTTTAATATATCAAATCTGTACTTCAAATGATCTCTAAATTCAGGTGAGATAAATTCAAGGTCATATTTTGGCTTTCGTGGACTTGTTTTCATTTTCTTCAGCTTCAGTTTGAATTTGCATATAATTGATGGTCTGTTCCACAGTCTGCCCCTGGTCTTGTTTTGACTAATTATATAGAGCTTTTCCATCGTCTCTTTCCGCAGATGTAGTCAGTTTGATTTATATGTATTCCATCTGGCGAGGTCCACGTATATAGTCATCTCTTTTGCTGTCTAAAGAAGGTCTTTGAAATGAACAAATCATTGATTTTGCAGAATTCTATCATGCGATCTCCAGCATCATTTTTATCAACAAGGCCATATTTTCCAACTACTGATCCTTCTCTTTGCTCCCAACCTTTGCATTCCCAATTACCAGTAATGATCAAAACATCGTGATTGCATGTTGGGTCTGGTTAAAAGAGATGGGGATAAGATTCTTAGGATTCAGTAGTGAGTAATTGTTTTCATGACTAATTGCAACTGTCACAGTTTTAAAGGTAGAAGTTTTGTAACAAAAACGGGAGTGGTTAATCTTACAGTCCAGAAACAGAGGACTGTAAGACCATCAAGGGAGAAGAGCACAAACAAAATGTGGGACCTTATCCAGAAAAGCAACAACGCCAGAGAGGGAGACCGTGATGGGGACATGGAGAGGAGGGGAGCAGCTGAGAACTCTATATTCATGGAAAGATAGGGACTAAGAGTTGGTGGCCAGGAGGCAGACTTGCAGAATGTGCCATTTGGAGGTATAGATTATTATATATGCCAGAGGGGGATTGTTTTGTTTTTTTTAAAAAAAAAGAGCTAAAGTGAATAGATAGAATTACTGTTAACTGATGGTACATGGAGAGAATTATAATCATTGTAATGAAACAAGGTGTATGATTTGTTGAGTGTAAAACTGGTGATCTGACCTGTAGACTTTCACTCAATCCACAATAAAAACCTTAAAAAAAAAGTGCCATGGACCGCCAAAAGAACAAACATCTGTTAGAAGAAGTGCAGCCAGAGTGTTCCTTGGAAACCAGGGTGGCCAAATTTCATCTCTCATATTTCAGGCATATTGTCGGGAGGGACCAATCACTGGAGACGGATAACATGCTTAGTAAAATGGAGGGTCAGAGAAAAGGGGAAGACCCCAACGAGATGGATTGACACAGTGACAGCAGCAGTGGGCTTAGGCGTAGCAGTGATTGTGAGGTTTGTCCAGGACCAGGTAGTGTTTTGTTCTGTTGTGCCTAGTGTCACTTTGAGTCAGTACTGACTCAATGGCACCTAACAACAAGAAGACAGGCACCACACTCAGATGTCTCTCACTTGGATGAAATGAGTCCAGCTGACTGCCTCAGGGGCTAGAGCAGTATGTACCTCCATCGTCCTACTGTCCGGGTTCGTGGGACTGGCACCGCAGGACTCTGGAACACTTGTGCAACAGCCCCTGCCTACTGTAGGACTAGCCTGTGTTTGTGCTGTGACAGCCTCACACAGAGCTCTCTGTCCCATTCTTCTGCTGCTCTCCAGGGCAACGTTACTTGAACACACATGGGCTACAAGGAACTCAGCTGCTCTTAGGCTCTTATGATTCAGTTTTCAATTGAAAAAAGCCACAAGCTGCTTCAGAGCAAACTGTTTTAGCTATTTATTTTCCAATTACTGGGATACTACCAAACTCTATTCATGATTTATTGACCATGGCTTATGCCTTTACTATATATGCAAATACGATCCCACAAAGGTACTATTTTTGAATTCATGAATGAAGCCACAATTCACTTATGTAAATGTCACAAGACATGCGTAGTGTGTGCATGGTTGTGTTATGCCAAAACTTTTTACATAAATTTGTCATTTTTGTCCATTATATGTGTTTGCTTGTTATTTACATGGATAAGTGATTTTGGGGAAAATATGGTACAACATGAATGAGTCTCAAAAATATGTTAAGTGAAAAAAGCCAGATATAAAAGGCCACATATTATATAGTTCCATTTACATAAAATGATCAGAAAAGACAAGTCTTTTAGATACAGGAACTAGATGAGTTGTTGTCAGGGGAGCAGGAAGAGAAGTTGGACGAATTTCTAATATGTATGTGATTGTGAATAGTGATAGAAATGGTCTGGAATTATGATGATGGCTGCACAACATGGTGTGTATGGTTAAAAAACAAACAAAAAACTTTAAAATGGCGAGTTTTATGTCGTGTGAGTTACATTCAATTAAAAATGGTATTTTTTTGTCTTTTAAAAAAAGAGCATTTTGTACCCAAAGATGACATGGAAGATATTTATGACAGATTGGGGACTGGGTTATGGAGGAATTTCCAAAGAAGTGAAAAAGTTGTCTCCCTAAAATGGGGATGACTACTGAAGAAGTTTGTCTACTCTATGGCTTTTAGAAGATACAGAGAAAGTTCAATTGGAGAAGAAGAATCAGAGTCATTAGATGGCCTTCTGCTCTGAGCCAAGGAATGTGGTTAGAGATGTTATGCAAACTGAGATGATAAACCAAATTAGCTCCACTGAGCAAATTACCTGTAGTTCAGAAACAGCAGGGAGGTTGGAAAATTAATAGGGAGTGGGGGAAGGACTGAAGGGATGTGATTTTTCTTTTTTAATGTACAATCCAACAACAGCTCTCCCTAGATTTTGTGCTAAAATAAGAGCATTTTCACACATTTTAATTGCTCTGTGATAACAACAGTGTGAACTTCATCCACAAACATTTATTATCTATTTAATTTTGCTCTAATTTCAGTGTAGCAAGAATTCACCTTGTAAGTGGGAGTAATGTCCGTTTAGTAAAAAGAAATCCTTTCCCACATTGCTAATCCTGTTGTGCATTTCCATAATGAATATTAATAATAAGATGAGTTTTTCTATTTCTCCATTTTTAGGTAGCATTTATAGATTACTATTTTCAGAGTTGCATCTTTATACACTGAAAGACCACTTGCTCCTTAGGCATTTGTTAAAGAATGTTTTTTTAAAAAAAAACTTGTAGAAGTTAAGGTTTCACAATATTTTTGGTCAAGATTTTTAGAGAGACTTATGCTTATATAGGCTATCTGTTCATGGTAAACTTTATTTAAAGAAACTTTATTGGTTCCAGCTCATGGCTTCCCCATGTGTTAGAGTAGAATTGCCTGCTCCATAAGGTTTTCTTGTCTGTAGTCATAATGAAAATTGATTGCCATGTCTTCTATAGCACCACCAAGTTGGTTCAAAACCTCTAACCTTTAAATTAATAGTCAAATGCAAACCGTTTGTGCCAGCCAGAGACTTTATAAACAAAACCAAACAAACCCCACAAACCAACCACCACTGCTTCAATTCCATCTCACAGAGTCCCTATATAGAGTTTTTAAGACTAAATACTTACAGGAGCGGACAGTCCTATCTTTCTCCTACAGAGCCGGTTTGAATTGCCAGCTGTGATTAGCAGCCCACAGTGCCACCAGGGCTCCTTCAGGGACTTTATGTTGTTGTTGTTAGGTGCCATCGAGTTGGTACCGACTCATAGCAACCCTATGCACAACAGAACAAAATACTGCCCGATCCTGGACCAAGCTCACAATTGTTGCCACGTTTGAGCCCATTGATGCTGCCACTTGGCCAATCCATCTCTCTGAGAAGTCTTCCACTTTTTTCTGACCCTCCACCTTACCAAACATGATATCCTTCTCCAGCGACTGGTCCCTCCTGACAACATGTCTGAAGTATGAGAGAAGAAGTTTGGCCATCCTGGCCTCCAAGGAGCACTCTAGCTGCACTTCCAACACAGATCTGTTTGTTCTTTTGGAAGCCCATGGCACTTTATAATACTGTCTTAAAATGTATTTTTCAAATGAAATTTAAATAACTGCATAGCTATCTAAGTTGTTCTGATTGTTTTCCAGACCTGTCGTACTCCATACTTTATAGTGATGCTACAGGACACAGAGGAATGGATAAAAACATTGGCGAGCAACTCAATAAAGCTTATGAAGCCTTCCGACAGGCATGCATGGATAGAGATTCTGCAATAAGAGAACTACAGCAAAAGGTTTGTAGTTCTGGGTTTGAAAGTTGTTAATTATAATTGTCAGTGGACTGTATTTTACAAGTCAAAATTTTGTATCATTGGACATTGCCTTGAAGAACTATAGTTCCTGAAACATAAAGGTATATTAATGTGTAAACTTTGATGTTTTTATTTGATGTCTGTTTTTTAAAACATTGTCATCTATGTTAAAAATTGATGGGTTCATTTTAAAGTAATTGTATTTAGGAAAGTTGTATTCCATAAGCAGTTTTGAAACAGGATTTGCTTTGAAATAAATATAAAAACAATTCATTTGTATCACTATCTCACCTAGTTTGTTTTTGTTTTGCTTTTTAACATTGTTATTTGACTGATGCAAAAGACTACAAATCCTAAAATATCCTGTAAGTAAATGTGCTATTTATGTATAATAACCTTCCATTTTATTTTACTAAGACAGCTAAAAATAGGCACACTATTCCAGTGAACCCCTTGATAACTTATTAAAAGTCTCAGCTTTTAGTTTCTGGAAGATAAAGTAGAGGGGCAAAGTTAGGAGTCCTTATCTATGGACCCCTACACTGCCAAACATCACTAGAAAGGTACTTATAGCAAGATAAGCTAGATAACTGGGACCTCTTAAAAATTCAATATTTGTACTTGTTAAAAGACTTTACCAAAAGAGTCAAATGAGAACCTACAGACTGGGAATTTTTTTTTAATATATAATGACTTATCTAACAAGGCTGTATTCTCTGACATATGTATATATATATATATGAACTTAAATACCTCAACAACAAAAAGGCAAACAATTCAATCAAAAATAAAGACAAAGGACTGACCAGGCATTTCACCAAAGAAGACATTCAAGCAGCCAATAAACACATGAAGAAAAATGCTTTCCATCATTAACCGGTAGAGAGATGCACATCAAAACTACAATGAAATATCATATCACTCCTGCAAAAATGGCACTTCTAAGGAACAGAAAACAACAAATGCTAGTGATGTCGTGGGGAATTTAGAATTCTTAACACTCTGGTGAAATTGTAAAATGCTGCTGCCTCCATGGAAAATGGTATGGCACATCCTCAAAAAGCTAGGCAGAAACTCCAGGTTATCTAGGAATCCCACTGCTAAGTATATGAGTATATCCTAGAGAACTAAGAGCAGTGGCATGAATAGACATAATGCACACCCAACCCATGTTCATTGCAGCATTATTCACAATAGCAGAAAAGATGAAATGTACCTAAGTGTTCATTATCAGATGAATGAAGAAACAAAATATACATACATAGAATGGAATATTCCACAATGGTCAAGAATAATAATGAGTATATGAAACAGAACATGGATGAATCTGGAACACATGTTAAGTGAAATAAATCAATCAGAAAAAGCATTGACTAAATTTTTCGATGTTTTTGTTGTTGTTAGGTGCCATCGAGTCGGCACTGACTCATAGCGACCTTATGCACAGCAGAACGAAACAATATCTAATCCTGGGCCAACCTCACTACTGTTGCCACACTTGAGTCTATCGATGCTACCACCTGGCCAGTCCATCTTGTTGGGGGTCTTCCTCTTGTACTCTGACCCTCCATCTTACCCAGCATGATATCCTTCTCTAACGATAGTTCCTTCCTGACAATGTGTCCAAAGTACGAGAGACGAAGTTTGGCCATCTTGGCCTCTAAGGAACACTCTGGCTGCACTTCTTCCAAAACGGATCTATTGGTTCTTTTGGCAGCCCATGGCACTTTTAGTATTCTATAACAATACTTTTAGTATTGTTCGATACAATTTTATAAAATGTCAAGAATAAGCTTATATACAGAAACGAACATTCTTTGATAATTACCAGGGATCTGAGAGGAAAGAGAAAATTGCTTAGTAGCTAGTAAACCAAAAAATCAAACCTACTGTCAACCAGGAGCCCTGGTGTGGCACTGTAGGATAAGCGCTTGGCTACAAGGTCGGTTTGAACCATCTAGTTGACTAGGGAAACTCTAGAGACTATATCCCAAAAATACCCTTATAGCCTGGAACTGAAGCCACTCCCACATATAATCTGTCAGCCAAATAGATTGGCCTTTTACAATAAACAGCAGTCATGAGGAGCGTTCTCCTTAGAACAGTCAACTGCAGGCATACCTTGTTTTATTGCGCTTAGCAGTTACTATGTTTTTTACAAATTTAACATTTGTGGCAACCCTACATCAAGCAAATATATCAGCACTGTTTTTCCTATAATGTGTCCTCACTTCATGTCTCTATGTCACATTTTGTTAATTCTCACAATATTTCAAGTTGCACACTTCAGTATAGTGTAAACTTTTATATACACTGAGAAAAAAATCCATGTGGCTCACTTTATTAAGATACTAGCTTTATTGCAGAGTCTGAAGCTGGATCCACAGTATCTCTGAGGTGTATTTGAGTTCAAAATCAAGCAGGTGTAATTTGCCCACAAGCACAGAAAAGGCAAGAAGGAGAAGGGAAACAACTGAGGGAATGGAGAAGGCAGGGTGGAAATGGATAGAGTGCTGACACATTGTGGGGATAGCAACCAATGTCACGGAACTACATGTGTATAAATTGTTGAATGGGAAATGAATTTTCTGGGTAAATTTTCACCAAAAATACAATAAAATATTCAAAAGAGAAAAGAAAATTCCAAAATGGGAAGAAATGAAATGAGGAGTAAGTAAAGTATGTCCATCAAATCATCATAATCCAAATATGTAATAACCAGCAAACTATTAGCATTTAAAAATAAAAAAGGAAATTCTTTCTACATATAATATAAGCAAAATTAGAACTCTGTATATCATCAGTCAAAACAAGGCCAGGGCAGATAAGCTTATATGCAAATTCAAACTGAAGCTGAAAAAAATGAAAACAAGTCCACAAGAGCCAAAATATGACCTCGACTATATCCCACCTGAATTTTGAGATCATCTGAAGAACAGATTTGTTACATTAAACACTAAAGACCAAAGACCAGAAGAGTTGTAGGATGACATAAAGAATATCATACAGGAAGAAAGCAAAAAGTCATTAAGAAGACAAGAAAGAAGGAAAAGTTCAAAATGAGAAACTGAAACTTGCTCTCCATAGTGTACAGATGCTAAATCAAATGGAAGAAATGAGGATGTACAAGAGCTGAACAGAAAATTTAAAATGTCAGCTCAAGAAGACAAAATCGAATATTACAACCAAATGTGCAAAGATCTAGAGTGAGAAAACCAAAAGGGAAAAACATGCTTAGCATTTTTCAAGCTGGGGGAACTGAAGAAAAAAATTCTAGTCTCAACTTCGGTTATTTAATGATTCTCTTGGGCAAATTATTGAATGATGCAGAAAGCATCAAGAAAAGATGGAAAGAATACACAGAGTAGCTGCACCAAAAGGAAAGGCTGATGTTCAACCATTTCAAGAGGTAGCATATGACCAAGAGCCAATGATACTGAAGGAAGAAGTCCAAGGTGCATTGAAGGAATTGGCAAAGGACAAGGCACCAGGAATTGATGGAATAAAAATTGAAATCTTTCAAGAAAGTGAGGCTTCACTGAGGCTCACTCATCTATGCCAAGAAATTTAGAAGACAGCTATCTGGCCAACTGACTGGAAGAGATCCGTATTTGTGTCCATTCCAAACAGAGGTGACCCAACAGAATACAGAAATCATCAGACAATCTCTTTGATATCCCATGCGAGTAAAGTTTTACTAAAGGTAATAGAGAAACTGCTGCAAGCATACATTTACAGAGAATTTCCACAGGTTCAATCTAGATTCAGAAGAGGCCGTGGAATGAGGGATATCATAGCTGATGTCCGATGGATCTTGACTGAAAGCAGAGAATACCAGAAAGATGTTTACCTGTACTTTATTTTCTACACAAAGGCTTTTCATTGTGTGGATCATGACAAGCTATGGGCAATATTGTGAAGTATGATTATTCCAGAACACTTAATTCTGCTCCTGAGGAATTTGTACATGAACCAAGAGGCAGTTGTTCGAACAGAGCATGGGAACACTGAATGGTTTAAAATTAAGAAAGGTGTGCGACAGGATTGTATTCTTACACCATACTTATTCAGCCTGTATGCTGAGCAAATAATCCAAGAAGCTGGGCTATATGAAGAAGAATATGGCATCAGGATTGGAGGAAAACTCATTAACAACCTGTGATATGCACATGATACAACCTTACTTGCTGAAAATGAAAAGGGCTTAAAATATTTACTAATGAAGATCAAAGAGCACAGCCTTTGGTATGAATTGCATCTCAATGTAAAGAAAACAGAAATCCTCACCGCTGGACCAATAAACAACATTTTATCAATGGAGAAAAGATAGAAGTTGTCAAGAACTTCAGTCTTTTTGGATCAACTATCAACAGTCATGGAAGCAGCAGTCAAGAAATCAAACGACGTATCACATTAGGCAAATCTGCTGCACAAGACCTTTTTAAAGTGTTGAAGTGCAAAGATGTCAGCTTGAGGACTAAGGTGCACCTGACCCAAGCCATGGTATTTTCTATAACCTCATATGCATGCGAAAGCTGGGCAGTGAATAAGGAAGATAATAGAAGAATTGATGCATTTGAGTTATGTTATTGGAGGAGAATACTGAAAGTGCCATGGGCTGCCAAAAGAACCAACAGATCTGTGTTGGAAGAAGTGCAACCAGGGTGGTGCTCCTTGGAGGCCAGGATGGCCAAGCTTCATCTCTCATATGTCAGACATATTGTCAGGAGAGACCAGTCCCTGGAGAAGGATATTATGTTTAGTAAGGTGGAGGGTCAGAGAAAAAGAGGAAGACCCAGTGAGATGGATTGGCCAAGTGGCAGCATCAATGGGCTCAAGTGTGGCAACAATTGTGAGGTTGGCCCAGGGACCATGCAGTGTTTCGTTCTGTTGTGCATAGGGTCGCTGTGAGTTGGTACCAACTTGATGGCACCTAACAATAACAACCCTGTAAGAAGTCATGATGTATTCTCACAGTACAT